GATTTCCTGAGAGAACAAAAACCTGTATATCCCAGGTATAAGTATAATCAATGATGGACACTCCACAATCCGCTGGGATAGGAATTTTCAGAAGTCCCTAACTCTCAGAATGAAGAGCTTTTTCCTCATCACAGTCTAAGTGATTGCCCCCTTCATTTTGAAATTATGGTCTCATGTTCAAGGTTTCCAGACAGTTTAAATGCACTGTCAATATCTGTCCTGTCAAGCCCTTTCAGAATCTTTAATTCTTCTAAATTCCAGGGTATACAGGTGCAATTAACTGAGCCTCTCATCACAGGCTAACCCTTTCACCACAGCAATTTGACGAGTGTTTCTTCACTGTATTGGCTCCAGTGTAAATTCTTCTGCACACAGAATTCTAGGATTGGTCACACCAGAGTTCACCAGTAAGACTTCTTTATTTCCAATCAATGTGCAAAAAGGCAAACCTTGCCTTCTAATTTGCCTTCTAATATCTTCCTATTCTTTCATGCTAATTTTCTGAGCTCCTTCCTTGTACAAGCACACCAGAGTTTCTTGAAATGTCATGTTATGTGATTTTTTTAAAATACTTTTCTATTACAGCCAGAGTGAATAGCACCACATCTCCACACATTCTACTCCATTTACCATCTTGCTTCCAAGATGGTGGTGGAGTATGCAGCATCCAGGCTCCACCCAGGGCTTGTCCCTTCTGCCCGTTTCTCTTTCTTTTCATTTTCTCACTCTTCTCTTTTGTAATTCTTTAGTATTTTTAAAACTTACCTTGTAGGAGACCAATGGTGACGGCATTGGATCATTGCAGCAGCTGAGGGCCTGGAGCAGAGTGGACAGTCAGCAGTCAGTGAGCCAACGTGGAGCAGGATGGCTAGCGGTTGGTAGGCTGGAGCAGAGCAGGACAGCCAGGGTGGAGTGGAATAGCCAGCCGTTGGCAGGCCATGGTGGAGTGGGGTGGTTGGCGGGCCCAGAGCAGGGAGACTGATGGTTGGTGGACTGGGGCCGGTTGCAGTCAGCCTATCACCGATGGTAGCCAGCGAATCCAATTGAGGTCAGCCCAGTGCGGGGGAAAGTGATGCCACGTGTGGAAAGCCCCCAGCATGGAGTGACTGCAGGTTATAGAAGGACTGTAATGTCTATCTTTTAACTTTATTTTCCTAACTTATGCTGTGAAGAACTGCAATGGTAGAACTTGAGTACGTGTGACAATAAAACCTAATTCAATTTTTTAATTCCGCCTACTCACTTAAAACTTTCTATGTCTTTTTGCAGCATATTTCTGTACACACAATTTACATTTCTAATTTGCTTTATTTTGTTAGCAAACTTAGGTGCATTAGCCTCCATCTCTTTGTCTAAATCATTAATATAAGAACTGATCCTTGTGCCCCTGTACTGGTCACAGCCTGCCAACTTGAAAATGGCTAATTTTCTTCATCTTTTCTTCCTCAATAAGTTGTAGATGTCATACAGCATAGAAACAGGCCCGTCGGCCCACCATGTCTATGCCAACCAACAAACACCAAACTATACTAATCCCATTTACCTGCACTTGTTCCATAGCATACTATGCCCTGGAATTTTAAGTACTCATCCAGATGGGACCTACCAATCATTCCTGTTCATTAAACGAATCCTGTATCTGTGACAATATATTATCTCAACTCCATGAACCTTTCTCTTGCCTATTAGCCTTTTGTATGACAACCATATCTAAAGTTTTTTTGGAAATCCAGTTTTACCACAACTGTTGGTTCCTCTTTATGTACCCTACTTGTTACGTTCTCAAAGAACCCAAGTAGGTCAGTCAAACATAATTTCCTTTCATAAAACTGTGTTGCCTTTGTCTGATCCTTTTATTTTTGAACGGATGTTACATTTGCTAAATTCTAATCTGATGAGACAATTTCAAAATTTAGTGAAGTTCACAGCCACTATCTTTAAAACTGTCTCTTTTAAAAATCCTAAGATGTCGGCCATCAAGTCTTGGGACTTACTTGATTTTAGTTTCTCAGGTTGCTTCAATCATTTCTTGCCTACTGATATCAGTTACCTAAATTTCTTCGCATTTTTAACAGATATATTACTTTCTATTGCTGGTATTTAGCTTTTATCTTCACAATGAAAACAGTTAAGTATATGAAATACAGTGGAATGTGGCAAGTTACCATATGACCATAAGGTATAGGAGCAGAAGTAGGCCATTCAGCCCATCAAGTCTGCTCCACCATTCATTCGTTTTCACATCAGGTCCAGTTCCTCCGACTCAGATACTGACAACGTGTACCGACCGTAGCCTGCCTCTTGTGCCTGGAATGTCTTGGCTAAAGCATCTTCTTCAGCTGGTAACGGTGTCGAGGGTGCAACATCTGCCTTGTTCACCTTGTCCTCAGAGATTTCTAAGCAGAAGGGGAGAACCCACAGGTTTTTACGGCCTTGCCGGATGTTCTGAGGGCTGGGTATGTTTTGCTCCTGCACCATTTGCGAGGTTGCACCTTTCATGAGGTTGAAGTGATAGTTCACGACGCTCTCACTTACACTTACTTAATATGTCTGGGACCTGCCCTCATGTTGACCAGGCCTTTTACTCATGCAGGGCCATTCCTGTGATTTCAACACCAAACTTTGTTCCCTGAAGTAAACTGCCTGTCTTGCTTAGAGGAGTCTTGTGTCCGTCATTCCTGATGCTGTTCCACCTCCCCCTTGCAAGGTCTGGGAAGATCAGACTTAACTTAGTGTGGAGTCTTCTTTCCATTAGCAACTCCTTGTAGCTACGTGAGCGATGCATCTATAATCAAACAGGAACTGGGACTGTTTGGTGTCAAGTGAAGCTGTAGGCTGTTTCTTTAAGCCTGCCTGCAAAGTTTGGACTACTCTTTCTGCCAGACTATTGGAAGATGGATGATATGGAGTTGTTATTACACGCCAAGTGCCATTTGACTTTGGAAACACTCAAATTCTCTGCTGGTAAATGATGGACCGTTGTCTGTGACCAACACCTTTGGGAGTCTGTGTATTGCAAAAAATGCTCACCACTTTTCAATCGCCGTCCCAGTGTTTGACAAAAGAACACAATACATATCCAACCACTTTGATTGGGCGTCTACAATGCTAAAAGCACAGAGCCCATGAAAAGATTGGTATATTCAATGTGTTAACAAATCTAGGGTTTACCCAGCCATTTCCAAGAATGTAAAGGAGCAGCTGGCAGTAATTTTTGTCCTTGTTGGCCCTGTGAGCACTGCTCCACCAACGCGGTATGCTGGCATTCAGTCCTAGCCCTCAGACATAATTTCTCACTAACATCTTCATTTTGGAACCCTAGGGTGACCCTGGTGGAGTTCAGCCAGTATCTGGCAGCAACCTTTGCTTGGGACAATCACTCTTTCTCCCCATAATAAGATACTGTCCTCAATGGTGATTTTGTCTCACCAAGTGGAGAAAGGTTTCATTTCAGGTTGTGATGGCCCTTTTGTTTCTCCCATCACCTGCAGCTGTTTTAGTTTTGCCAGAACAGGATCTTTTTGTGTCCACAGCTTGATATTGTCAGAGGTGACCAGGAAGGTATCCAGGAAGTTTAAAACTAGAATGGACATTTCCAGTGGCAGTACTATTGTAATGTATCCACCAATGGGAGGTGGCTCAAGGCATTTGCCACTTGGCCTCCTGGATGGTGTTCCAACTTGTAATTGTACATACTCAGAATTAGAGCCCATCACTGATTTCAACCTGAAGCTATGGGCGGTATGACCCTGTCCTCTTTAATTAGCCCTAGCAGGGGTTTATGGTATGTCAGTATTACAAATTTCTGTCCATAATGGTATTGGTGGAACTTTCTCACACCGAAGATGACCGCCAAATCTTCCTTTTCTTTCTGGGCGTATTTTCGTTCGACATCAGTCAAAGTCCAATTAGCGTACACTATTGGGCGTTCCTCTCCACTGGATCACCAGTGAGCCAACACTACCCTGATACCATACGGAGAGGAATCACAAGTCAGCACCACATCGCTTAGGATTGTATGTGCTAACCTTAGACAGCGAAACCTGCTTCTTCACTTCCCTAAAGGCTACATCTTGGCTACAAGACCATTTCCAAGGTTGACCCTTTGTCAATAGCAAATGTACAGGTGCCAGGATGGACACCAGTTTACACATGAATTTTCTGTAATAATTCAACAACCCAAGAAAACACCCAAGCTCCAATACAGACTTGGGAGCCAAGGCATCTTTGATCATCCTTACTTTATCTTCCAACGGGTGCAATCTGGTCTTGTTGACTCTGTAGCCCAAGTAGGTCACTTGGAAGACATTTTTCCCTTCTAAGTTGTACCTTGGAGAAATGTTTAAACACTTGGTCCAAGTTCTCTATATGCTCTTTAAGGATCTTCCCGGTTGTTGGTATGCAATCCAGATAAATGATGACCAGAGGTAGACTTTGTAAGATGTCAATAGTCCACTGGAAAATGGCACAGGCTGATGATACCCGAAAAGGCAGTCTTGTATATTGGTACAAATCCTTAGGAGTATTAATTGTAACATACCTTGGGAATCCTCATGTAATTGCAATTACAAGTATACATGGCTCATGCCTGGCTTCATGAAGAACGGACACCCACCACCAGTTTTGCGTATAAGTCCTCTGTGAGGGATTGGGTATTTATCCAGCTGCGAAAAGTGGTCCACTGTTTGAAATCACCACAAAGCCGAACCGACCTGTCAGGCTTCACAATTGGCATAATCACTGCTGCAACCTATACTGTACTGGTTTGATGGTTCTTTTGCTTTCCAGCCTCCTGATTTTTGCCTCTAGTCTGAAAGTACAGCATTCCATCAGTAACTCCATAAAAGCTTCAAAAGTTTGCATTTCCTCAAGGTTGTTATAGTTCATTTGATTTTATACTTGATAATTATTTTTCCCATTGTAATATGACTGTTTAATCACTTTTATTGTCATGCTGCCAAGTTTAATGCACTCTTTTTTATTTTTGTCTTTTGTTGTAGCTGAAGATCAGACAAAAGTAATATGGAAATCTCTGCAAGAGATTAGTTCCCTTACTTGCGTGAAGTTTTATTATAGGCGAAGTAATGAACCCGGTTATATTTCTGTTCAATCAGAAAATGGGTAAGTTGAAAGATACAAGAGTATTGTGAAGTTGTTCATATATTCACCGAAATAACATGGATGAATAATAGTTTAAAATGGTATAAATGTTACTATTCTTTCAATTGTCTAGCCGTAAAGCATGCTTAGGCTTACTGGGGAGGATAAACTTTATGAAGCCAATTTATTTGTATATACCCAATGAATCAGTGTCTTTTTCAACAGGTGTATCAAATACCAAATTATTTTGGCATTTTAGATGAATGAATCATTTGACCAACACAAACATTTACAAATACAAAGTAATGAGACTAAGGAAGGGAAATAAACAGGGGGAATCTAAACTAAATTATAACGAATGCAAGAAGCAGTATGTTAGGGCAATTTGAAAATATTAGTAAAATACTCACTGAGACTAGAAACTCACTATGTGAATACAGTTAGGAATTTGTTAAGGTTTTGAGATGTCTAACCAGAGAGATACAGCACAAATCTAAGGAGTTGATCAAAGAAGCAAATGTAACATCTTCCAGTAGTGTAAAACAATGCTAGTAAACTGCAAACATATTTTACATTTCTTGCATCTATACGCAAATGGATAGTCAAAAATATAGTCAAACAGTTCAACAAAGCCATAAATTTGTTAATGATGCTGCCTGGCCCGCTGCGCTCCTCCAGTTCCACACTGTGTTATCTCCGACTACAGCATCAGCAGTTCTTACTATCTTTTGTTATCACATGGTCTGCTATTACACACAACTCATTGTTAACCACTAACTGTTCCCATTAACAGCTATTCATCCTCCTAACCTGATCATTTTTCAGTCCTTTATCTCTCCAACTGTCCTCTTTCTTTTTGGGCTCTATCTCCACCTATCATTTACTGCTTACCCCTCCTCTCCATGCTATCTTCTGCATAAAAAAAATTTCCCTAGTTTCCTTTTCACCAGTTCTCAGGAACAGTCACTGGACCTCAAGCGTTAACTCTGATTTCTCTGCACACATGCTGCCAGATGTGCTGAGCTTTCTGTTTTTGTTTCTGAGTTCCAGCATCCACAGTTCTTTCAGTTTTTATTCCTTGCACATTATTGTAGCTTGGAAATATAATGCTGATTCTTTCCTGGAATCATAGAATCCCTACAGTGTGAAAGCAGGCCATTTGGCCCATCAAGTGCACACTGACCCTCTGAAGAACATCCCACCCAGACCCACCCCCCCTTGTAACCCTACATTTCCCATGGCCAATCGACCTAACTTGCACATCATTGGACTGTGGGAGGAAACCCACGCAGACACGGCAAGAATGTGTAAACTCTGAGGATGGAATCAAACCCAGATCCCTGATTTTAAGAGGCAGCATTGCTATCCACTGAGCCACTGTGCTGCCCAATTATTCTCATTATTTCAAAATCCTGAAGAGCAAGAATCTCAGCTCACAAAATCAGGAAGGAGAGTCATTTTGGGTGTAAAGGGAGGGGCAGAAAAATTTAGTGGGAGCTGTTTATGGATAATTAATACTAGATGTTGCATAGAGCCAATTATTATTTAAGGAAATTAGAGATAAATATTTATCATATAATTATGGAGGGCTTTAACCTTTTATAGACTGGTAAACCAAATTCAAAATAGCAGTGTGAAGGATGACTTTAATGATTAAATACAAGATAGCTTTCTCAATTAGAATAAATTGCTCTCAATGGCAATCAATATAAATTCACTCGCAAGATAGCAACATCACCTTTTGAAGTGTGTGCTGCTTTGGACTTCAGAAATGTTTTCACACTGTAAAAACAATAAGACAGTTCTCAGGGCAAACAATACATTTATTTTAATTTATTCATTGGATGCTGGCATCCAAGCCTCATTTATTGCCCATCCCTTAATCACCCTTGACACGGTGATGATAAACTTCCTTCTGGCACTGTATTCTCTGGGTTGTAGATACAATCACAGTACTGCTAGGGAGGGCATTGCAGGATTTTGACTCTGTGACAATGAAGGAATGAAAATATTGTCCGAATTGAGAACGTACAGACCATGCAGGAGGCAATGTTCCCATGTATTTGCTACTCTTGTCCATCTAATAATGGATTCTAGCACTTTTCCAAATAATATACATTAGACAGCCTGGTCTATACTTTCTTGTTTTCCTTCATCGTTTTTTGAACAGAAGTGCTGCATGTATGCAATCACAATTTGCTGGGATATATCCTCATTCTAGAGAAATTTGGAAAAATATACCCAATCCATCCATTATCTCTGTAGCTACTTCTTTTAAGGTACTGAGATGCAGCTATCAGCCTGTAGTCCCATTTGTCTTTTTTAAAAATCATTCATGGGTTGTGGGTTAAGCCAGAATTTATTCCTGTCCCCAGTTGCCCTTTAGAAGGTCAAGATGAGGTGACTTCTTAAATCACTTCAGTCTTTGATAAACGCACAATGCTGTTAGGGAGGGAGTTCCATGATTTTGACCCAATGACAATGAGGGAACAACCATAGAGTTTGAAGTGAGGAAGGTGTGCCTTGGAGAGAATTTACAAGTGGTCGTGTTCCCTTGCATCTGCTGACCTTGTCCTTCTGGGTGGTAAAGATCGTGGGTTAGAAGGTTCTGTCAAAGAAGCCTTGGTGAGTTGCTGCAGTGCACCTTGTAGATGGTTCACGCTGCTGCCAGTGTGCATTGGTGAAAGGAGTGAGTGTGCAAGTTTATGGATAAGGTGCCAGTCAAGTACGTAGGTTTTATTTGAATGGTGTTAAGCTTTTTCAGTTTTCTTGGAATGGTACCATTCAGGAAAGTTGACATCATTCCATTACACTTCTAACTTGTGCCTTGTAGTTGATGGGCAGACAGTGGGGACTCAGGAGATGAGTTACTTGCTGCAGAATTCTAGACCTTTGACCTGCTCTTGAAGCCGCAGAGTTTATTTGGCTGGTTCAGTTTTGTTTCTGGTCAGTGGTAACCCCCAGAATGCTGGGGTATTCAGCAATTGTTATGCTCAGTGTGATTCTGATCAGCAGAGTGTATTATAGGCCAGAAATACTGTTCCCTGGCCTTGAGATGTATAGAGGCTCCCGTCTGACCAAAGCAGCCTTCATGGACATTGAAGTAGAAGTTAGCAACATGTTTTCCAAGTAAGGCTTGGTCCACTTATGAAAAACGTCAACGATCTCCTACTCTCTTCCTTGAAACAGTGTGGTGGTATTTCAGCAAAGTGCTTTTCTTGAGGGAAGGCCTAGAAAGATAAGGGCAGCAGATGCATGAGAATTTCACCAAGTTCCTCTCCAAGCCACTCACCATCATGACTTGGAATTATATCACTGTTCCTTCACTATCTGTAGGTTAAAATCCTTGAACTCCCTACCAAATGGCACTGTGAGTGTACGAACATGCTGAGGACTGCAGCGGTTCAGAAAGGAAACTTGACATCACTTTCTCAAAGGCAATTTGGGCTGGACAATAAATGCTGGCCTAGCCAACAATCCCCACATCCCATGAACAATTAAAAGCACATTGTGGACAGATATGTCAGACTGGAGTTTGTATTCTAAAATACTCTGCACCAGATGCAACTTGAGGCCTGAGCCAGTTCATGCAGAAAAGCTTTGTAATTTTTCAGAGAATGTGTCTGAGAGGATATTAGCTGTTGTAGGGCTGCATGTTTTGTCTGGATTTGAGTCTGGGTATTGGATAGTGTGGGAAATAGTTGAAACTTTGAGTTGTAGAGAAACTCCAGGTGTTGTGAATGGTTAGAATGCTCAGCCATTGAGTATGAATAAGTCAGAATTGGATATTAAAGGAATTAAGGGATTCTCGTACATGTACCTGGCTTTTAACAAACTTGATCTTTAAGGAATGCCTGTGCTCTGTCTGTTCCTTTTTGTGGCCCTCTCCACAGCTAGTCTGCTGAATGCAATGGAAAGTGGAATGGTTCAGGTAGGTCTGGATGGAAAGAGGATTAGAGTGCAGCAGGCGTTCTGAGTTGGGGGAATGGGAGTAGTCTTTTAAGAAGAAGGGTGAGGATGTTGTGAAAGAAGAAGCTGTCCTTGTGGAGAACAAAACTCAGTTGCATTGGTCGCCACAAGAGAGACAGAACCCGATTGACACACAGTTCCAGTAAACGCTAGTGGGTGCAGAAGACTGTGGACTGTTATGGTGATGATGCCAACATTTAATTCATATTTTGAATGCGAACAGCAGTTCATGTTTGGAGTAATTCAAATGCTTGCCCATGAGTGATATTCTTGTTCTGGACAGTGACAAGATGTTGGCGACCACTGGGCATTGAGGAAAGAGTATGGAGGACGCAGCATTCAGATGGGATGTAGATTAGGACCGTTAAATTGTGTGGTGTGGAGTTTAAATAATGACTAGGGTGTGAGATTAGGGCTGTATATGGTGGGAGCATGGCTTTGCAGCTTCTTGCCATTGCGCTGCTAGTGAGGGACAATGTCGGATTGCCAATGCTTGTCTGGGTGCACAGCGTACTTCCTAAGATAGCATGGGGGCAAGGGATGCCAGACCTTTGGCAGATATCAGTTGAGTTGCGAATTATTTTGGGAACTGTATGTGGCCAGATGGGTCTGGAATTGGATGTGACAGATTTCCCAGTAACGGACAATGAGGTTAATGAGCCGAGTTTGTCTCACTCTGCCACGCAGTGAAAATCCTGCAAAAAAATCTGGCACAACTCATACTTAGCCATAAATAAACATAAAATTCATCTCAGTGTGTATATTGTTAATGTTTTGGTGGTGTAGAAAAATTCATTTTTGTTTTTAACTTCTTACTTTCTTAGATGCTATTCATATGTTGGGTACAGACCCACTAAAAGAAAATTATCACTGAAAGTTCCAGGCTGTGTGCATTTTGGTTTGGTTGCACATGAATTTCTACATGCAATTGGTTTTCAACACGAGCACTCCAGAAGTGACCGTGATGAATATCTCAAGATAATGTGGGAAAATGTTCCAAAGGGTAAGAAAATTGAGAATATCCATTTTGATTATTGATTCATAATTGCTGAAACATACTTTAATTTATTTTCTTTATGTTGAGTTAAATTTCCTTTGAATGGCTTCCAGCTGTTGAATAATGGGAGTTACTTAAGGTTGGCTGTTGCATTCCTCTGACAATTGTGTTTTATAACTTTTTACTGAGTAGTAAGAACGAAGACCGTTCCTGTTGGAACATTGCTGGTCACAGGCCTCCAGTCCTAAAACAACTCCCCACCATCCCACTCTATCTCCAGCCATTAAGCTAATTTTGTATCCAATTGACAATTTTAATTTTAATTGGCAAGCTCTTTTTGATGTGAATGCATGAAAAATTAACTTTAAGGAAAGACTTGCACTTATGTAGCACCTTTCATGACACTGGGGCATTCTACGACTGATGAAATGCTGCTGTAAAGTGTTGTCGAGTGTTTCTGTGCATGTGTTGTCACTGTACACTTAGCAATAGAATTAAAAATAAACATATGTAAGAAACACTGCAGCCATTTAAGAAGTTTGTTTCACATTAACTGAGCAGAAGATTCATGAAAACATTCAACATTTTCCATTGGAATACTCTAAAGGTAAGGCGAATAGGGTGCAAGAAAGGGTGAAAAGAAGACATATCAAAGATTATAGTTCAATTGATTAAAAAATGATACATTGATTGAGACAATTAAGGCATAAAAACCTTAAAACAAAATATGACATTTCAAAGTATTATGACGCAAATAAAATGGGATATGAAATGTGCTGAAATGAAGCACGTGAAAGGGAGCAAATAACATGGGAAATAGTAAATACTTCTCTGTCTATTGGCAAACCCTTACTTTAAAGATAATTCTTACTTGCAGATGCCTGATGGAAGTGAGATTTCAATATTGTGTCACAATCTACTTAGGAAAGTGCACTAATCCTCAAGCCCCATTGCTGCTGGAATCATCCCAAAAGTTGAAGATTTAAATGAATTACTTAAAGCTCCCAACTTTCCTGTCCGGTGAACTCAGGTTAACAAAAAACAACAGTCATGTTTCTGAACTTACAAGAACCTATTAAACTACTCAGGACAGTGCATTTGCAATTACATTATCCTTTCCGCTAATGTGAATAATCTTTACGTTGAATGTTCAAATAACAGACTCCATCTGGATAGTCTTGTGTTTCAAGTTTAAACTTTTCAATAAATGCAAGTGGAATATTGTCAGTAAAGATGAATGTTTCTTTGTTGTTGTGTCAGACATAGACTTCAAAGTGTTGAAGAACCAATAATAATAATAAATACTGTATTTTCTTATTGTACAGCAGAGTATTTCTTAAGATTTTGGTTTAGTTTCTTTGAAAAATACCAAACTAATTACCCTATTCAAAATTTATCAATTTATGACAAGACTGTATCTACCTCTAAGACACTAGCATTAGTCAATTTTCAAGGTTTAGTGGCCAACATTGGTTTATTTATTAGGATTCCTGTTAGCTTCTCAAAGGTTGCTTGGCATTCTGCTGACTGTACTACTTTTGTTTGTTTTTGTAACATTTTTTTTAAAGATCCAGCTATCATGCTGAAATTATGCACAAATTTCTAGTAAAACCCACACATACTAAAAATATCATAATTTCCTATTTAGTTGTAGAACAGGGAATTCTATTGGAGCATTCACTTTCACTGATCTTGGTAACACTTGGCCTTCTCTGATAATGTGCTCCAAGGAAGTTACCATTGCTTCTGTGAATTTAATTTGGCCAAATTTATTACAAAGTAGCTAACTAGAATTGCTTAAACTGGATCTCTAATTGCATTACATGCACTTTGTTACAATATGCAGGTAGACTGTTGAACCACATCAGCCTTTCTATCTCTGTACTTGCAAAATATTAAAATTAAAATCTTCAAAAAACCCTTGAAATTGATCCAATGGTTCTTAACCAGACTTGGGATTAGTCGATTCTCAACATTGGTTTGTAGTTTAAACAAAAGAGTTAGCAATTTATTAAAAATACGGTAACTTTAGTAGAGGAAAACTAAACAACAAAGTAATCTAATTGATCTATGCAATAAAGCCAAAAAAGTTATTACAAAATAAAAACTGAAAGAACTACTGATGCTATAAATCAGGAACAAAAACAGAAATTGCTAGAAAAGCTCAGCAGGTCAGGGACCATCTGTGAAGAGAAATCAAAGTTAACATTTCATATCGAGTGGCCCTTCCTCAGAAGGGTCAGAACTGAAAAAGGGTCACTCAACCCAAAACATGAACTCTGATTTCTCTCCACAGATGCTGCCAGACCTGCTGAGCTTTTCCAGCAATTTCCTTTTTTTAAACAACCTTTGTTTACAGCCCCATTCACACAAAAGACAAACAAACACAGTTAATAGATCAATAAAAAAAATAACAAAACTGTCCAGATTACTTAAACGCTTTTCACAATGCTTTATTCCGTAGGTATAGATGATGGTTTTGTGGTTGATTTTCTGAAGATGCCAATCAGGGTCAACTTTACAATTCACTGAGATAAGGACAGTAATACTTACAACCTAGTTTCCTATTTTTCGAACTTCCAAAAGCTGATGAGGGCAGTTAGGCTTTCAAATCTTCATGTTTCAGGGAGCTTTAAAATCTTAATGCTGTAGTATCAACAGCCATATTCCTATTTTCACTGAAAACACAGTCTAAAACTCAATTCAAACTCTGACCATGCCCGACAGACTGACAGTCTCCTCCTTGAGGCCCCAGTTACCATTCAACATATGCCATATGCTTGAACATAAGGTCTTTTGCAGACTTGTAACTAATTTCCAGGTAGTGACTTTGTTAATAGCCAACTTTTGCTATACGTTTAAACATAATGCTCTTTTGTGGTTTGAAGAACCTTGATCAGGAACCATCCTTCATTAACTTCCAGGCCTGGCTTCATGATTAAATGCTTGTTTGGTTTGTTTTCCTTTTAACACAAGTTGTTACCCACAGACTGAAAGTCTTTTGCTCATAGTTTCCAGTTCATAGCTCCAAACCAAATTTGATAATAGAATAAAATAAAAACAATGAAAAATCATTGAGGGCTGTAACATCTTCTTATGTGGTATTGTATATTATGTCACTGGCTAAATGAACCACACAGTTAAGTATGTGTGGTTAACACATTAAGCTACCACTTAATTCATATGTTTTTGAAATGTAGGTGTGGCGTTTTTAAAACAACTGGTATGATTCAACATTGATATAACTCATTTGTTGTGACAAAAATGGATATCTCTTCAGCTCTTGATATTTTTGGCATGCTAATATCTGTTCAACAATCATTCTTATAAAGAAATGAAGCATTATCAACCCTATCGATATAATCTTCTAACCAAGGAATTGAGTATAAATCTGTTTTTGTAACTGCATATACTTTCCTGTATTCTCTGCAAAATCTGCTTGATCCATCTGTTTTAGGAAGTAACACCAGCAGTGAAGCCCAGCTGCTTTAGCTAAGTTCAGTCAAGTAATTTTACAGCATGTATTGAATCTCTGTTGCGCTTGGGCTTGTTTTACTGGGTTTAGCCAATAACAATGTTGTTTAATTCTCCTACATTCATATCATCTTAGCTAAGTTAATACATCTAGGAGTACCTTTAAATATTTCCTTTTCTTCCCTAAGTAAGCTTACTAAATCTTCCATTGGTCTTCCTCTAAATATGAGAACACAGGTCTAACTGTCCCAGTATTTCCACATTGGCTTGTTGAATTGTAGCAGGTTTTCTTAGTGAGCTGCCTGCCTCTCCTTCTAGCTCAATCTTATTGCCTCCCAATACCATCCACTACTTTTACCACCTGTCATACCTGTTCCTCTTTATCCTGTTCCCTGAGATGATACTGCTTCAACACGTTTATCTGATATAATCAACTAATCTTCCTATAATCAGAAATATTTATCCGATAGAGATAGTAGGAACTGCAGATGCTGGAGAATCTGAGATAACAAGGTGTAGAGCTGGATGAACACAGCAGGCCAAGCAGCATCAGAGGAGCAGGAAAGCTGACGTTTCGGACCTAAACCCTT